GACAGACGGACAGACAGACAGACGGACGGACGGACGGACGGACGGACGGACGGACGGACGGACGGACGGACGGACGGACGGACGGACGGACGGACACAAAGCTAAACAGCTGTCTGTGTCTGATGCTGGCGGTTCGGCTTCTGCCTAGCAGGAAGCTTCGAGTAAAACGGCATGGCAGTGTAGAGACACAGAGAATGTCCGGGAGCCCCGCGGCTTGTCGTCCGATTCATCCGTTGACTCCGACTTCGTGGGCCGGGCCTTCACTGCCGCAGCCTGGCACCAGAAAGCATCCCGCTGCGCGCTGCAAAACTGCCGGACTGCGATTGTCCACGCTTGAACCCCCAAATGTCCAAAGCGCATACCACCAAGCTGTACCGGGCCAAGGAACCTTTCTGTTTTCAATGGCCGGGTGGCTCAGCAGCTCCTGCGAGCACCGTCACTTCGTCAGGAGCTGCGAAGCTGGAAGATGCCCAAGCGCGAGCCGCGTCCTCTAGGACTTGGGCCCCTCGGATGCAGTTGGTGAGAGGCAGATGGCCGACCTCAGTGGCACTGAGCGCTTAGCTTCTCTAGCCGCCCCGCTGTCACCTCAGAAATTCAGAAGAGGCTTTAGCTTCACTTCGCCATGGACTCTGGATTCCCACGTGCTGCAAACTCCCGAAGAAGACGGCGTGTTGTTGTCTTGACGCGGGGAAAGTCCAACTGCGACTCTTTCGTCCGAGAGCCGGGCCGGGGCCTCGAGGCTGTAGATGAACTCATCCGGCCTCGGAGCCCAGCGAGCGCAGGGAGCCGACCGGTGGGGCTTTTAGTCCGCAGGTCGCTGCTAGACGGTTGCGACGGGTTCAAGGGGGACCTCTGTGACCCCTGAAGCAGGGTGCAGTTCAGCCGCCCGCAGAAATCCTGGCATAGCGACTTTTCGGAAACATGAACCCAAGAAGATTCAGCACGCATCCTCCAGCTCAGCAGGTCAAGACTCCGCATCTTGCGGAATCGGCCGGTCGATCGAACCGATTTCTAAACCTGAACTCAACTGGGTTCTTGTTAAGGGATTTAATTTAAGTTACCATAATAGGGATCTATAGTAAATAATAGTTTCCTTATTATGGTAACTTAAATTAAATCCCTTAACAAGAACCCAGGAGTAGAGACACTCGCCAGTCGAACCGATTTCTAAACCTCAAAATTATTAAGACCCCTAAACCATAAACCCTTGTAGTAGCCCTTATAGAACCCTTTAAGGAACCCCTAGAAGGAACCCCCTGAACTCAAGAGAGGTCA